CACACACACACACGATGCGCAAAACTTACGCATTTGAACAGTCCATAGCAAATACTTAAACTAATAACAAAACAGTAGCTAAGCCTAATTTAAAAATACTTAAACTAATAACAAAACAGTAGCTGATTCAGAAGCGCCAGATTGTCATAGCAAAGTCAGAATTACCTCTCCTAGGTTCACGAAACAGTCGTCCATAAAATGCATTGCTGTTCTGTTGTAAGTAATCTTAAAGATTCCTAAATGCATCTACTTCCGGAAGGCCAAATAAAGTGCTTTTGCTTTCTCCTAGAAACACACAGCGTCTCCCTGACATGCTGCTTCAACACTAACTGCGGTTACTGAAACCACGCCTTTTTTCTTTGTGTGAACATTTGGGCGGCATTATGCAAATATTCCCACATAGTGAGGTAGATATGTGGGGGCGTGTTAGAACGAGCCGTTTTAGGGGGGCGTGGCAGAGTCTTAACTTTGATAAAGAATATCTCTTTGGTTTTGAGACTTTAGTCTTTGCAACTTCAGGGATCTTATCTTTGCACAATCAGCTTATAACACACCAAAGAGAAAGGAAAACTTGAAATTGCATCATATGACCCCTTTAAATCTATAGTATAGTTTTTTTCAAGGTAAAAATATCATGAATTCTTGGAAGAGTTCCATCACATTTCTTACCTGAACTAACCTTGCATTGACACATTTTTTATATGTATAAGGAATAATAATAAATGATTATGCTAAACTACTTGATAAAGTTTTATTTTCAAAGACATTCCTTCTTTGCCCTTCATCATAATATCAGGACAGTTGTATCACTCCAATATTTTTAATTGTATGTCCCCCAAAACAATATCAAAATGTATTTGAATACATAAATGAAAAACATGTTTAGCATAGTATGCAAGTATTTGTATGTGTAGACTTCATTTGAATGGATTTTTGATTAAATGAACAGAACATCACTGTTAAAAGCCTGTTACCCGTTCTGTGTGGCCAATTTCTGTTGTGATGTACTCAGTTTGTCTCTGAGCTTCATCTGCACTGCTGGATGTTTCTAGAGTTTTCCGTTGGATTTTGTCAACCTCTCTCTCAAGATCCAGAAACCTTCCTGTGCTGCTACTTAGTTTGAACTCAGTCGCTTCGGTTTTTGATTGTACCTGTAGACACACGCATGTTGTTAAGTAAGAAGTAAAAAAACACTGATTATGTTTAAAGGACGCATAGGGATTTTAAAGGTATAAATACTTACATCAGTGATTTGTTGTTTTGTTTGGTTCACGTCTCTCTCAGCCTCTTTCAGTTTTCCGCCGGCAGCAGTCTGAGCGCGCTCAGTGTCCTCTAGAGTTTCCTTCGCCTCATCAGTGGCCTGTTTCAGTGCTGTAGCTGTCTCACTGTGACACACACACAAAACACACGGTTATGTAATCAAGGATGTTTTTATGATGCAGGGATTTTATCACAGTACATGTAACAGATGTATTTTTTGAAGGTCACTTTAAAATATTCTTGTTTTTTACCATACCATCATGTATTTTTGCTACTTTTCAAATGCCTTTTAAGTTTAGACTGTCTCGAAGTTTTCCCTTGTCCCATACCCAGTAATTATTTTTTAAACTATGATCATCTAAAAAAAAGAGTGAAATATAAATATATATTTTCAATATTTACTGTGTGAAAATCAATCAAATATCACACATACATATGCTGTGTGAAAACAGCTAAATCAAATATCACTAAACAGATTTTGTTATTAATTAGTCAATTAGTGTTTATTAGTGTGTCATTTCCAATCAAGCTATGATAGTAGTCTTAAAATGATTTGAATTCAGTTATATTTGTTTAGTTAATTAACCTAAGTAAAAAGGTTAAAAAAAACACTAAAAATAGAGCATTAAACTGACATTATATCTCTATTTTTATTACCATAACTCAACATAGATAGCAGGGCTTTCGAAGGCCTTTGTCTTGGACAAAGAAGGGCCTTGGAGTCAAAAAGGTTGAGAATCTTGGTTTTGTGTCCACTGTTGGACATCGTTAGTAGACAAATTAAATAAACTAGTGGGTTTTAAAAGTATATTTTGAAAGTGTAATGTCTATAAGTGTGTATGTGATTACTCACTTGGCAGCCTGTGCTTCTTGCAGGAGTCTTTCTGCAGTATGCGCATTCTCTGCCGTCTGGGTCAGAATATCCTCCACATGGGTCAGTCTGACCACATGTTGGTGGATCTCTGTGGTCACGTTCTTTAGTGCACCGGGCGACACTGGCAAACTCAGTTTCATCACCTCATCAGCTACTTCCTCTATACGCTTCGGATCAGTTTCGTCTACACAAACAAACAGATTTAAGTTTCTAACATCAATATTTAGATTTTTACTGTATTTGTGACATAATTTATGTATATTATCAGGGGTTTGTAGCAAAATACAGAATGGGTATAATCTAAAGCTTTTATACTTTTTACAAATGTAGTGACATTTCATGCAGATCTGCATTCCTTGCACACTATACATACTGTGTGTTTGAAGAAAGTTTGTTAATATGCTATTCTCAGCACAGCCAAAGTGTGAGTGTTTACTATATGTGACCCTGGACCACAAAACCAGTCTTAAGTCACTGGG